TCACGCTGACGACTATATTGAGTTGCGGAACGTGGTTAAACCACTTTATTCATACCCTTTTCTTTTCTGAATAATGATTATTAAATGAATAATACTATAAGCTTTCATATTTATCTAAAATATACTTATATAATATCAGTACTATTCTTATAATATATCATCATTGCTATTCCATAATATTTTCCATAATAATTACTGATACTTAGGTTTCTAGCTTTGCTATAGGTAAATGAAATCTGGCTTACATATCATATTCTTTACCCCTCCCCTCTACAAATTTTCGTTTTGCGCTAGGTGTTGGCACTTGACCCCTGCCTAACTCGTCAAACGGCATCACTTAGGCGCGATCTTCTGCGTCTTCTTGGAGTTGGTGAGTTTTCTGCCGCCGCCATCTTCACACCTCCTCACATGGCTTCTGAGCATATGAATACAGAAAAAGCTAGCTCCTTGGATATTTTACCACATTCCGATAAATTATATAGTCTTCTTGTATATTTGGCCGATGTCGCATGCCCTGTTTGCAACACGACCCGTGACCTCGATGTCTGTCGTGATACTAATCTTGTATGGATAACTACCACAACTGCTAACAATGAATATTATGGTTACGGCGATGGCGACAACAGCGACGAAGGGGAAAGTGAAAGCTCGGCTTCGCCTGGCCACTGGGCTTGGTCCTGTCCTCAGTGTCAGGTTGTATATCCCAGAGCCGGTTTAGAAGTGGCCCTTTTATCGCAACTTGAACAGATGGCCCTGCAATTCATTCTTCAGGTAGTAATACTAATAAATGTCATAGAAATATTAATAGCGATAGTTTTTAATATGTATGCTTACTTTAATATGAGATGTATTCACCCTATTTCGTTTAAGGTTATGAAGAACTGGTGGTAGAATTTTTCAACAATAATATAAGTGGAGTCTTGCTTTCCCAAAAGTTGTTCTCATCCAAGCTGTAGTGGACTGCAGTTTCGACCTCACATAGGTCTTATCAACACCTCCAGAGGGAGTCGAGCCGTGGCAGTGCAGAATGTGACACGTTAACCACTCGGCTGCATTGCCACGAGTCCCCTTGGGTCACAGGGCAGATGTGAATTTCTAAGGAAGGCCAGGGCTTTTCGAATATCACATTCTTTGGTGGGATTGTCGAAGAAGCAAACATATTTTTGCTATATTAATCGATTATGTTACTTATTTTTCGTATGTAAGTAGAGTTTCGAGACTACCAGTAAATCAGTAATATGAGATGTATTCTTTTATGTGGGAAAGCAAGGCTATGTGAACTCCAATGGTAGCATCATCTCTACTAATTTTATTGTGGGAAATAGGGTGAATACATCTCATATTACTGATTTACCAGTATTCTGAAGCTCTACTTACATACGAAAAATGGTTACCTTAGTTATTGCTGGCAATATTGATAAAATAGATTACTTTAAAATTTAATTTTTTTTACATAATAAACCTTTTCTAACGACATTGGCCCTACCAAATTCATTAAATTTTTACTTGAAGTTACGTACTAGTTGATATAATTTATTTAATTATATTTTGTCCTTCCCATACTCAGAACACTTGTATATAGTCACATGCTCTATAGTTGGTGCTCAATCTAACTTTGCTACATGGTTTTATTATAATTAATTTACAGGATTTGCAATGCACAAAATGTACTATCGGTGGCGGAATACAGGCTGCAGTTTTGGCGAATGGTGCTGCCAGTGGCCGTTGTGCTGACTGCGCCAGCCCGCTTAGTTTGACAATTTCAGCAATGGGCGGTACATTCCGCCGGCGCCTTGATGTTTATCGCGCAATCGGCAAAGCTTTTGGTTTTCATCTACTGCATGATATGGCCTATTGGATGCTGAGAAAACAAAATACCATTTAACACTACTTATTACTATTTCACTAGGCCTTAAAGGCCATTCAGATATCAGATTATTATTTCACACGATTTCTCTGTGAATATTTATTCAACAAAATTCTTCCAGCCCTTATTTTTTATTAACTAAATAGTCAGGGCTGAATTCTTCTGTTATATGTGGTTTTTATCGATAACTTTTACGACTTAATACTATGAAGGATATTAACATATCTTCCCTACCATCCAATTTTTAAATTTGCTTCTAGCATCTTTTTTAAATATACTTTTTTTGCTATGAATGTCGCCATCTCTCACTTTTGGAGCCAAACGATTTACCTTTCTATGGTCCTTAATAACTCCTATCACTTTTGAAATGAGAATAAAGATACACATATTTAACGACGCATCTGGATCAACACCTTAAATATGTCCTTGCAACACGACTGGTTTGAAATTCTCACTTTGTATTTATCGTTGTTAGCTGCTTGGATTTTGCATGCGCATTTATAGACTATCTACTTGTATCAGTCATTCCATTTCTGCTATCACTAGAACTGGGTTAGTTTTATCCCATTTTATTTTTTATGCCGTATAAAATATTATTCTAAATGTCAAAATAAAATAAATATTCATAGTTAGTATCGATAATATTGGTAGATAGTTAACAGGTGTTGTATCCTCTACGATGATGGTAAAGCGCTATTAGTTGAATTTTCCTACAGTGACGAGTAGGCCTTACGATACTAATACATTTAAATTAGCCTTGCCTATCAGCTCTCCCAAAGGGATTTGAGCCTGAGTAGGGCAGCTTACGCTTTCGACATGTTACTACAACACTACACGTGCACCAATAGGTCACAGGGCAGACGTGAATTTCCAGTATAGCCAGGCCTCTCCTGTCGCATTTTGTTATGATTTTTGTCAGAGGCAAACATATATTTTGAAATTGCAATCAATTACGTCACATACTGATATTTATTGGTTTTAGAGATAGGCTGTTGATCGAGAAAAAGATCTTTGGCTCTACTATAATCTTTAAAAATAGCAAAAATGATTACAAGTAGCCTTTAAGATACAAGTTTGCCTTATCGACAACTCCGCTATTAAATGTGATGTGAGAGGCTTGGCTTGCCTTAAAAGTCACGTCTTTTCTGTTACCAACTATCAACCATACCAGTGTTACGTAGTGCTAAAATTTCGTAAATAAACACTAACTTCTCCGGGGTTGATTCCCGTTAGGTGTTCTGATCAGACGAGGCGAGATGCAAACTGCATTTAATCCTGAATGAGAAAGCAAGCTAAAGTGAAATTCAGTGACATCGTAAAGTGTACTGAAATCATTGTAGAAAAATTCAACTATCACTCTTTCCTGATCTCATGCGGTATATGATGACTAAATCGGCTGATAGGCTCGAAACCTACTTACTTCGGATATTTATTTTATTATCGATATCAAGAACCTATTTCTTATTTTTTTAAAAATAACATTAACAGAGTATTCATCAA